TCAACAGGACGAGTGTAAAGCGTCCTACCATCTCGTCCGATTTTAGTCATTCCTGCGATAGGGTCAATATATTCTGGAGCAAGGTCTTGACCATCAACTTGTGCTGGCGGTGGTGGCATCAAATCCATAGGCTGCAAAAAAAGCCTCAATGTGGGAGCAAGTTCGTAGGATGAACTTGAGTCCTGAGTCACAATCATGACACTTCCTCTCCAGACTTCACGTTCTGGTAAAGGACCACGAGCCACTGAACGACTGGATGTCTTTTCAGTACGTATGCCATGGTAACGTAGAAGTGGTCCGCACTTTAGGAATAGAGGTGGTTTAAATCTAGTAGGAGCTATATCAGGACGAACGCGGATGACCCGCATTGCACATGTTAGCGAATGATCTGGAGTAGGGGGGATAGAAGGGGATTTCTGCTTGTCAGATGATTGGTTCGCAGCAATCACTTTGCTCGCATAACCAGATTTGTGTTTTGGTCGCAACTTAACAAATCCAGTAGAGCTGCGAGTTGTGGATGATATATGCTGCTCAGCAATACAACCGGCACAGTCTTCCATGGAACCAAAAGCTAAAGGTACTGTACCATTATTGTCATCATATTCCCCGTCATACGCTTCAGCCTTCTTCTGTTTGACAGAGCGTTTCCTGCTGGGACCAGATTCCCACCACGCCCCCTTCGGACCGATGTCACTTTCGCTTGCTTCGTCTTCAAGGTCTAACAAAGCACCTGCCAGCAAAGCCTTCTCGCCCTTCTTCCACTCAGTAAGTCGTTGCGAGGGAGCATATAATCCTTTCCCTGGTTCGTAGTTATGATGATGGTGAAAGATTTCACTAAGATTGTGATGGTCATGATGACGATGATGCTCCTCTTCATCCATGGGTCCATCACCAGCCACCGGTGGATATGTGTGATCTTTTGAAGAGATAGAACTTGTTTTCCGATCGTTTTTGACAGATGACGAATGCTTCAAAGATTGATTCTGTCCAGTCAATTGCTCCATTTTTCGTTTCGGCCCTCGTCTAAAGGAGATACCCCTCGTCTCTTCTTCAGAGTCGAACGGAGACTCGTCACTAAAATCTGGTTCGCGAACCGGCAGATTTCTAGATGAAATGGGTTCTGTTGCTCTCCGAGGAAGTGGCAGAGCTTGTTGACCCGCTGCAAGACTAGGTAGCACGTCGTCCTCAGGTTGCCTGTCAGTCCCAGCCTGGCGTCGGCTCCAATGATCTGGTGGTGGATCTTTTCTCAATTTATTGCTCTTGCTTCGGTAAAGAGGGCCAGAAGATTCAACAGCGGCTGCAGCCCCAACCGCTATTGGTAAACCAGACTTTTGCTTTTTACTGGATGTGCGTTGTGGGATTGTGTTGCTCTGGATATCGCGACTGGAAATGGGACCCCTTTCCTGGATAACACCGATTGGAGGTGATATATGTGTAATTGGTATCCTTTCCAGGACAGATCCACTGCGTGTGAAGCTCTCTTGTGATTTGATACTTGAAGTCCGCGGAAGGTTTTCTGCGATAACCGGTCGTCTTTCTGGTTGCAAACTACCTTCGGGAGCTTTGGCAACTGGTCGATTTCTGAAACGGACTGTGTTTTGTGTGGGCTGCTCAATAGTGCGTGTAGGCTTTCCTTCTTTTTCCTTAATTACTCGCTCGGCTTCTTCTACACGTGCTCGCTTCTCCTCTTTTGTGATGCTGTCAAGGGTCAATTCCAATCTTTGTAAAGGAGACCTGTCTGATGCCCACTCCTTCCGTCGTTGGACCTCTGCCGCTTCAGAAAATGAAGCTTGTCTAGTATGCGTATCAGAAGTTTGACTGCGTCTAGGCCGTTCTCCACTTGATGTATGGCCTCCTCTGCGCGAGTAGCCCTTACCGTCGCCTCTACCAGTTGTATTAGATCTTTGAACGGTGTCTCTTTCACTGATCGGAGAAGATGTGCCGAGAACTTCCCAGTTCGTTTCCTGAGATTTTATAGTATCGGCACCATCCGATTTGCGAGCTGGCCTCGGCCTCGCTGGAGTTTGATCCGCAAACAATGCTCCACTAGCCACGGGCTCGTTATAGCTACCTGATGGAGGTGCTCTAGATTTATTCGCAGCAATTGACGGAGAAATAGCCTGGTTGAATTCGCGTAGGTTATCTTTGTTCCGACTTTCTCCACGCCTTCTCCTCTTCTCCAGGTAGTCGTTATCGTAGGATGTGCTGGGAGTATCGTATGGGAATGATGGAGGTCGAGGGGCTAGACCATCTCCCCGAAAGGTTGAAGCAACTGGAGAAGCAAATGGACTTTGTGTAGATATCGTCGGAGCTTCTGTTTGTGTCGATTCTCGATTGCGTCTTGGATCTTGAGAGGCAAGTCGGTCTTTTTTTGTATCAACAGATAGACTGTTCTTTCTTGAATTTGGATCCGCCGCAGAGCCAATTGAGCCTTGCCTTGAGACTTTTGGAGGAGGCAGTTGCCCCCAATATGGTGCTGCCATTCTTTATGAGACTAAGACGAACACTCCTGCCTTCCGATTCTAGACAAGTCGGTGTCAAAATGAACCTTAAATATTTTCTAGAGATCAAAGGATAATATTTTTGTGAGAATCACTATTCAACCCTATGTTCACAAAGTGGGATTCAAAGGCGATATCTTTGTTGGTTGTGTATTGCAGTTTGTGAGCTGATAATTTATCTTCACTGTCGTCATCAAATTATCCTTACTCGAGGTTTGCGCCGGGTATATCAGTGAAGGCACGATTTCGAAACTCACTCGAAATGGAATAACATGATTAGCGCGAGATGCGGATGGATAGCAAGAGCAAGAGAATATGCAAACCGCAGGATCTGATAAAATAAGGATTGACTCGATGGTGAGAAATCGCGGAGGCTGGGTATCACAACATTCACTCACCTTGGGCCTCTTGTTCTATCAAATACCTCGTCCTTTTTTTCTTCCTTTTCATGACAGAGTTCACCAAAACCCTTGGAAATCCCGGCATTAGCGGTAAAAGAGCTTGCATACAATTTGGACTGCTGCTTTGGAGATTGACTAGGTTGGCACAGATCAATTGGATAACACGCAGACACGAAGTCGAGGGAGCTCATGAGCTCATCCAGGGTTTTCAAGGGTCGGGTTGAGGTTGGACACCGTTAGTGTGAAGCAGTTCGTTGAAAAGCGGCATGGAGAAGTTGTATGTATGTGATTGTGGATGCCATTGAACCAAGCTAGTGTGCGAAACATGACTCTGGCATGTAGGTACCGGCGGAAGATGTCGAAATAGACAGTTCCTGTATGGGAGAAAGAATTGATGTGAGTAATGAGATCTCATCGTGTATGTGAAGCATTGAAGATGTACGATGAGGGAGGGGGTGGAACTGTCGAAACTTGAGTCATTCACGCACCTCGACTCAATTTGCTTAAGCAAATTCAAACCCCACACTACGAGACTACCTACTACCACGATAATGTACCTATGGAAGCATGGAAGTATGGAACAAGGCATATACTAGATAATTTATAGGAGTAGTGTAATGTAGAGCCTTGAAAATAATGATGAGATGAGAGGGGAAACTGTTGAATATACAGCTCCAATGCTTGCTGTCCGTACTACTTAGATCCTGGAACCAAAGGTATCAGGGAATCTAGCTATGTATGTATATATATATGTACTAGATACTTTGGATGTTTTGAAGTGACGGCTACCAACCCAGTAATGTTTCATTGCATTCCTTTCTTGACTCTTGTACCTGATAGAAGCATACCTAGTACTTTATCTGATATACGGATTTGAGTTTGAGGGACCAAAGACTCTAGAGCTGTCTTGGCTTAGTTCAAATACACGCTGAAGTCAAGTCAGGAGTCAGGCAGAAGATTGAATTTAATAATAATTATCACATACTCGAGTGCAGCGTATACAGTATATATATCTATCTTTATAACTTATGCAGATTTATATATGTGTATATATATCCAGAAGTTTACCCACGTGCAGGTGAATCTGGATATTACCTGCGTATATCACCTGCGTATAACCTATATATACATATACATATACACCTATCTCAGTAGCTATTACTATAATACTTATTATCAACAACATATTATTCCTGAAACATCGTATGAAATAGTTACTAGTTCTTAGGTCACCTTCTCTTCCGTCCACAGTGCGAATGGAAATCCGTGCAAAAAGCACACCGTCTGTACTCTCATACGAGCTGGGGAATCCATCGAAAATCCATAACATCGTATACTCCATTTTGTTTCTGATCTTCCATCCTAATCCTGCTAATAAGTGTTCTGATCCTATCCCAGAGGGCCCAAGGGTAAGGGGACTAGAAAGCTACTGACATACCTATCTATCTACCTACCAACCCACCACGCCCATCTCCCGCTCAAAAAGCTACTACCACGACCCTACTTAATAATAAGAACACCGAGAATACCAACCTAGAACAACTGCGAAACATCAAAGAAGTCAAAACGTGAAGGATCACCATCAGATCAAACCTAAAGTCCTGGTGGTCTTTTGTTTTTGTCCATCTGCTTATTTATTTAATACCATTCCATACCTCCTCACTGACCTTTCACAAAAGTCTCTTACAGTATTTATTTCTCTTCTTTCTATTTATTGTCTTAAACGTTACTCACTGTACACTCCATCACATCCATCCTTTGTGGCGAAGATAAATCATCGCATTGCGTCTTGCTTACTTTGCATCCATCGGCACTCCGTAGTAACAAGTAATAAGGTTACGCTACTCTACGCACCGCAGCGCTTGATACCACCTAATCAATAACCCAACTGGACTTACGAGTCCTTTGTTCATTCAATTGAACACTTTATTGTTACACGTCCAATAATTTATTTGGCATCATTAGTCGAGATTGGAACGAAGAAGTTTATCATCCATGCGACACCGTTAAGAGATTCCGTTTGATTATAATTACTCTCGGGGTGTGAAGGGATTCGATTCTCAATTCAACGTCGAAACTCGCGACGTTATAACACGACATGAAATTACACACACTCATCGGCCTATTTGGTCTGGGGGTTCTGGCAAATGCTGTAAATTTGCGCCCACGAAATTATGATGCTCAAGATTACTATGTCCTACATCTCGATTCTACCGCAGATCCAGTACAAGTCGCAGGGAGACTGGGCTTAACCCACGATGGCCAACTGGGAGAGTTGGAGGATCACCACATTTTCTCGACGCACAAGCAAGATGAAGATGTTGTTCATACAGCTTTGAAGATGCGGAAGAGACGGATGCGGGAGCTGGGCGACTTTGATATACTGGATACCGTGAGGTATGCTCAAAAACAAAAGTTGAAGGCTAGAATGGAGAAGAGAGGTTTAATGCGGTCCGCGCCTGAAGGATACGAAGTCGACAAACGACAAGATACCACGCCACCAGTCGATTCCGCGGTTGCGAAACAACAAGCCGTTCAAAAAGCGTTGGGAATTCAAGATCCAATATTCAAAGATCAATGGCATTTGTACAATCCAGTACAAGTCGGACACGATGTAAATGTTACCGATGTATGGATGCAGAATATCACTGGTACAGGCTCGATTGTCGCCATCGTGGATGATGGGTTAGACATGTACAGCAATGACTTGAAGCCCAATTACTACGCTGAAGGGTCTTACGATTTCAACGAGAATACCCTAGAGCCAAAACCTCGATTGTCGGATGATAAGCATGGCACACGATGTGCAGGTGAAGTTTCCGCTGCCAAGAACGATGTTTGTGGTGTAGGAGTTGCCTACGATTCGAAAATCGCCGGAATTCGTATTTTATCCAAAATGATTACAGATGCCGATGAAGCCGTCGCCATGAATTACGCATATCAGCACAACCAGATTTATTCTTGCTCGTGGGGTCCTCCTGATGATGGAAGATCGATGGACGCTCCAGGTATACTCATCAAGAGGGCCATGGTAAATGCAGTTCAAAAGGGACGTGGTGGGTTAGGTTCAATCTATGTGTTTGCATCCGGAAACGGCGCCGCGAATGAAGATAATTGTAACTTTGATGGTTATACCAATAGTATTTACAGTATCACTGTTGGAGCGATTGATAGAAAGGGCCTACACCCGTATTATTCAGAGAAGTGTTCCGCTCAGCTAGTAGTAACATACAGTAGTGGAAGTGGAGATTCCATTGTAGGTTTACCCCCACCCCAATCTATGTAAAACAAGGGCTAACTATGTTATAGCACACAACCGACGTTGGTACAAACGCTTGTTCTGATGCACATGGTGGTACTTCCGCCGCTGCACCTCTAGCAGCAGGAATTTTTGCTTTGGTTTTGCAAATCCGACCAGATCTCAGCTGGAGAGATATGCAATACCTCGTCATGTCAACTGCTTTACCGGTTGATCTTGACACTGGTGAATGGCAAACAACAACTATTGGAAAAAAATTCAGTCATACTTTTGGATACGGGAAGATTGATACCTGGGCCACAATCGAAGCCGCAAAAGATTTCAAGAATGTTAAGCCGCAAGCTTGGTTCTATTCTCCTTGGATTCATGTCAATCAAGCCATTCCTCAAGGAGATGACGGTATTTCGGTTTCCTTCGAAGTCACCAAAGAAATGTTACAACAAGCAAATCTGGAGAGATTGGAGCATGTGCAAGTTACAATGAACATTGCACACACTAAGCGAGGAGATTTGAGCGTCGATTTGGTCAGTCCAGACAAGCTAGTCAGCCATCTTTCTGCAGCACGACGTTATGATTCTGAGCCCGAGGGATATGACGATTGGACTTTCATGTCTGTCGTTCACTGGTAGATATTATCCAAGACCAATTTGTGACATTTTACTAATAAGTATATAGGGGTGAATCTGGTATTGGAACTTGGACCATCACCGTCAGGGATGCTTTCGTCAACGAACATAACGGAACCTTCACGGATTGGCATCTCAAACTATGGGGAGAGTCCATCGATGCCGAAAAAGCGCTCGTACTTCCAATGCCTACTGAACATGACGATGATAATCACGCCGAGATTGCTACAACTACCATTGCCGGAGTCACATCAGCCGCAACAGCAGCTCCAACCAACCCCGCAGCCCCAACCGGTGAACTCCCAAGTGTTCCATCTGACCACCCCGATCGACCTATCAACGCCAAGCCTTCAGGTACAGAGGATGAGCTAACCTCTCCTACCTCCACTGCACCTGCAGAATCAGAGACTACCACTCCCTCAACATGGATTCCATCCTTCCTCCCCACCTTCGGCGTCTCTTCCAAAACCCAAATCTGGATCTACGGTGCTTTGGGTCTCATCACCGCTTTCTGTGCAGGTCTAGGTGTATACCTCTACATGGCGCGCCGCAAGCGTCTCCGCAACAACCCAAGAGACGAATGGGAGTTTGATCTCCTCGAGGATGATGAAGCGGAAGCGTTGGCCGGTAATACTGAAATGAGTATGAAGAAGGGAGGAAAGAGGAGAGCAGGAGAGCTTTATGATGCGTTTGCTGCTGGCAGTGATGATGAAGATGATGAGTATAGAGATGGGGGCGATGAGAGAGAAAAGAAATTGTATGAGGATGATGGAGAGAGTGAGGGGACGGGTAGCGGAAGCGGGCATCATGTTGTCGGAGACGATGATGACGAGGATAGTGATGATGAGAGCGCGGTCAATGTGAAGGGCGAGAAAAAACCTTTGAATAAGTGACGGAGTTGTTATATAAGTTGTGGGTAACGAGCAGTATTGTTGTAGGAACTTCAGCACAGAGATAGAGAAATGAAATGAAATGGATTGGAAGGCATACTTTTTGAATATCAGAAAAAGAATAAAAGAACTGAATTGAACTTAACGATTGGCAATTGAACATTGAGTGGAGAGAAATTGGGTGATGAACTCATGGGCTAGTTGGTATGCATGCATGGATGGTTACAATTGGCGTTTTGTTTTTATGGGATTTTCGGATTGATGCTGAATGGATGGATATGTATCTTCTTGTGAAATACAGGGTGAAATATTGTGGCATAGCATAGGATATGATACAATACAATACCAGTTTCTGAGTAGGTATGGATTGTTCTGTTCTTTTATACATGCTTTATTATTCTGTCTTTAAATATCTGGATATCTCGATTCCCCGTAATCAATCACGTTCCCCGGGTGAGGGGGGGATAGATATACTCGAGTACAGTCAATAGCGATACTTTATATGTGGGTTTGCTGTTTGAGGTAAGGGATGGAGAAAGGAAGATGGGAGAAGGAGGGAGGAAGAGAATGAAGAAAGCGAAGAAAGAAATGGGTATAATAGTATAATAGTACAAAAGTATACCTAGTATTTACATCTCATTATCCGATCCACCAGATCCGATCTACAGCGAATCCATCCATGAAATCTCCTAGCGAGACTAGACAAGAGGAGTTAACTGGCTTGCGAATTCAAAACCATCAACCAATCCATTCAATTGTCATTCCCCTTTCCAGCGTATCTCCCCTCCTACCTAGGTATGTATATATCGACACCAACCAATGTAAACCAAACCCTCAACAGAGTCCAGATTTTCAGAATCCAAAACATAGGAGCCAGAAATATGCGTCAAGTGTATGTAAATATATATCATTATTCTCATCTACCTAGACGCATAACGTAAAGCTCCCATTCATAACCATAAGCCTACCCATCATCCCATCATCCCATCCCCATTTCCATCCCCACGCCCATCATCACCATTCTTCTCCTTGATGAGAATCTCGTGCTCCGAAACCATAAAACGCCTAGGTTGGTACTTTCTTGCAATCAATTAATCATTCAATCCGAAAACTTATTCCCATCAGATAACACAAGACAAGACAAGACAAACAGCCACTCATCCATCTACTTTCTTCCTGTTGCATTACTTCCTTTTTTCCACCCATCAAATATTCTCTCATTGCAACATCAGTCTACTCCCGCCTTAAGCCTCCACCTCCCCAACCACCAGATCACCACCCATCTCCTTAACATAGCCCTCCCAAATCCTCGCTACCCCATCATAAAAATCCCTATGGACATCCGCCAATGCCCCTAGTTGACTCCTGAACTCAACCCTTTTGATCCTCTCAAAATCCGACACCTCTCTCACAACCTCCTCATCGAAAGCTTCCGTCGTTTTCTTCGCATCTTCAACTTCCTTCGTCAATTCCTCTATCCTCAATTCCAACCTCCGTAGCCTTTCTCTGCGAGATTGTTCATGATCAACTCCTCTCACATCTTCGATTTTCGAGCGAATAAACCCGCCTGCTCCAGTCAGGGCTCCAGAACCATGAGACGAGGCTAGCTGATCCCGGTCATTGGTGGATTTTGCCAGATATTCAGTTAATTGTTCAAAATCGAGTTGTTTCTGCTCGCGAGTTTTTAATAAGTTTTTGACCGCCGTGCTATAAGCCTGCATATCCCTCAAACTTCCGAGATAGTTTTGATCTGTATGGTCCTTCAATGATTTGATTCCTGCACTAGTATCTTCCACACTAGCGCTGAATCCGTGAATACTGGTTTCAATTTCGGGCTCAAGATTGATTAACCGTTGAAATTGTTCGGCTAGATCTTTATAATCCGTTTCTAAATCGCCTTCACGACGAGCTACGCGAGCAACAATCTTTTCAATGTGTCCGAGATCTTCGTCCAATTTGTCAGATTTTCCTTTGACTTCTATAAATCGTTGATCGGGTTTATGGACTTTGGTAAAGGCATTTATAAATGTATCCGTAAAATTGTCAAAGACTCCTGCAGCTTGTTCATCTCGAGAAGCGCCTCGAGAAGGGCGCGACCTCATTGTCGCATTCCAGTCCGAACTTTCCAGGAAGATTATCAGAAGGGCGCTACGACGGAGAACAGGGTGAAGAGTGAGCCGGGTGAGGAAACGTGCGAGAGAGTTGGCTCGTCTTTGCATGAAATCTACCCCGAATCGATCACCTCGGACATATTCCATCTTATGCTTATCTGGTAGAGGAGGAACAGCACATGCTGGATATTCCCTAAAAAGAGTATTGTATAAAAACACAAAATCCGTAAATCGTCTTCGAACCGTCGTCGTAGGCTTCTGAAAAGAAGGAAACGTAGTCTAAATATCAAATCAGTAAATCACCCTACGCCCCTCGGCATTCCCGTAAAGACGAACATGCGTAGTAACAAGATACGAAACAAAGGCATCTTTAGTCCCATCGTTCTCCTTGATAGGTGATCCAACTGTACATTCTAGAACCCCTTCTCCGACGCCCGCTAGATCAAGAGCATCTGCATTTGGGCCAGCCTGGGTTTCACCACTTTTACTGTTGGCGTCTGGTTTTTCGCCTTCATCATCACTTTGCGAATGCCCTCTCTGATTGTTCTGCCATTCGACATTGGCGAAATCGTCGTGGTCCATCTTCGCAGTTGAAGTGCGCGGGGCAATCGGAGCTTGTTTTCGTGGGTAGGGTAGGGAAGCTTGGTGTCGTAGAGGGCTGGTTGCTATACAAATGATTTCGATGGACAATGCTCAAATAATATTTATGAGTTATAATGCGAATTTTGTCTTAATTTGTACTCAAAAAGTGGTGAGAATAATTGTAGTGAATTAATTTTTGGAGGATTTCCTATGCAACAATCATGGAAGCTTCCCTCGTCAACATCTGAAGAGGCGCGGACCGATGTCATCAATGGGAACCAAACCTCTTTGAGCTTTCAAATTGGTCAAGAACGAACTCACGACTCTTACAAGTGTAGCTTTTTATCCAAAGTATATTATACGAATACTAGTACTTATTACCTACCTATATCTACAAAAATAGGTAATACGCAAAGGCATTTTGAATGAGATTATTAAAAAAAACTTTGGTATTGATTGATATTTTAATACTGCGCTGTGCTGCTGTGTAATCTGATGCACAATCATGGCAATCAGTGTCTATAACTGTAAAGGTCTATCGCATTCCCATCCAATCCATTTTATCCATGCGTAAACCGATCCAGTAATGCTATAGCTTTTAAAACAACAATTGAGAAGAATTTTCAAGTATACACATCAGGTTAAGCTTATGGCTTTTCTTCTCTTGCCTTGCTATCTTCCTGCTTTAATAGTTCTCCATCTTTCTCGGCAGCAATGGCCTCACTCACTTGATCCTTATCTGCTCCATCTTTGGCCTCCATACGTCTCTCTTCTGTTTCATCAATATCTTCGTTATCTCGAGGAGTGGCTCTGCCTTCTCCGGTGTTCTCCTCGTTTTGCTCATTTTCTTCCTCGATAAGCTCTTGTTGCTCCTTCAAGACCTCAAGACGTTGTTTATTGGTGGCAGCACCCTCTGCATTGTGGACTTCAAGCTCAATCTCATGGAATAACTCCTCTGGAATGGACGAAAGAACGCCAGTAAGTGCATCAATTTGGGTTGAAAATTCAGCCTCCTTGCCTTGAGCATACATAAAAGCATTGCTCAATACCAATAATGTAGAGGGAACTCCATGCTTCAGTCTCAATTCTAACCAAGCTTGAAGATCATCGCGAAGACGACCAGGAGACATTCCGTGAGTCCTGATACCACGGTTGAGACAAGCGACCTGAAGTTCTGGGACAGACAAACTTTCTACACCCTCAAAGCTGATAGCACGATCGTCTCTCTTGATTTGTCTCATACGATGACGAATCTGATAACGAAGCATGGTATCGGTACCAAAAGTGTTAAGGTTCATGTATCTGCACATACCAACGAGTTGGGGGCGAGATAAATTGTCCAAAGTCAAATCGTCCTTGAATATCTGGCAGACTTTGATGACTTCCGAAGCACTAGGTGTTTCACCAGTGGCTCTAACTTTGCGGAAAAATTGAGCAAACTCCTCGATGTGAGCATTTGCTGTACTCAATGGAAGTCCGGTTTCTTTCAAGGTACTTCGCAAGAAGTTGCTGACATCCTTTCTAGTTGCACGAAGTGAAGATACTTTAGCATCTTTTGATTTCTGTGCCTCGTATGTGCTTGGAAGCATGTTGGGGAATAGCTTGAGAGCAATGGGAAGAAGAAGTTCTGCGAATGGCACAAGAACAAATACGGAAAATGGTACTAATCGTGCCATATCTTGGACTGTTCTTCGTAGTTGCCTGTGCTCTCTGCGACTGAGCTCGTATCCTGCAGCCATCTTCAATGCTAGACGTGAACTAATCTTGATTTCTGTTCCCAGCAATTTCGTACCATCCCAATAATGTGCAGCCTCTTTCTTAATCTTTTGTCCGAGTGTCAACTTTTTCTCTGCTTTCTCGCCGTCTGGTTTTTCCATCGACTTTCCAGTTGAGCCAGCCAGTTCCGAGAGTGTCAAGCCTTCAGAGGCATCAGTTTTCGGTACTCCAGTAGCCTCATTGCTTGGAATAGGGTCTATTTCATGTTTGCCGGCTTGCTTCACACCAGCTTTTGACGTCGCATTGGAGCTAATTGGAGTTTCTTTGATTGGTTTTCTGGCTTGTTCGGCATTGAAACCTGGTGGTGGTGCACCATTTGTCCCTCCCGATGTATGAGTATCTGTCGTTACACCCCTTCGTGGGATTAAAATAGCCAGTGCTGGCATTTGTGATGGAAGAGTTCGAGCATTACGACGTAAATATGCTGCTGTGGGACTGAGAGAAGATCGTTGAAGGGCACGAGCTAGAAGTAGCAGTTAGTACTTCATTAATTCCATATTTATGAGCTGGGTTGAATGTGAACAAACCTCCTATGAATGATGTTTGCGCCGCACTGCGGACAATTCTTGATGAAGCGCTCATTCTTATGGTGAATTCCCTTAGGAATGATATGACAAAAAAAGGTATGAACAGAGTATCGAAGTTGTAGTATTACACAGAGTTCTAATAGAGAGAAGGAATGAATTTATTCGAAATGAAAGATCATAAATAAGTGTTGTTTCTAAGAAGAACAAATTGTTGTAAAACTTTATAAAACTTTATGCATCCAGCTCCAAAATGCCTTCAACGACGGATACGGATCGAGCAATGATTCTTCTGGAATTCGCCGTAGAATATCACGTGCTGATAGATTCCCAAAGCTAATGGGCTAGCGCGAACTGATAGGGGCGCGGGACGGAGCGGACTTAAGCATGGTGAAATGTTCTAGAAGAACGTGGCACGAATACAGTAATAGATATCTTCTTAGCCAGGTTCATGTAAGGCCTTGCGTTGTACAAAAGTACAGATGTTCATTGAACTAGCTACTATACCATATCAACAATCCAATAATTAGGTCTTATGTACAGCATGCATACTAGCTGTTCAGTTCATGGATATCAAAACGGTGTCAGACTAGGTGTCTTGGTTAGATAAACGGTGGTGGATCAACTCTTCCCTGCGAATATTCGAAAACAGCTGCATATACTACACAGCACAACCAAACCCGCAATGTCTCAAATACTATAGTCATTAATTTCATCTAGCACTTCTCAGGCAGTTCAAGAAGTTGCTGTTGTTAAGATCTTGCTTTCTTTGCTTTCTTTGCTCACTTCCTAGCCTTTTCAGAGTCTTGTTTGTAATTGATGTCGTATCGGAAGTGAAGATGCAGAATTTGTTTCCTATATATTTCGAGGTGCCTTAACAGAAGAATGTGCTAAGAGTTCTGGCGCAATTAAGAATAGAATTTAATTCAGAATTAGATTCTTATGCTATCTTTCACGCAGCAGATCCATTGATCTGTGGTTTAGCTACCGATGATCAAACCGTACAAACCTCGACGACAGTGCACACGATCGACAGCAATACTCCCAAGATCTACCTCCTTCCCCATTTTATCAAGTATCCTTTTCTCAACATGTCCCCCTCGGAAATTCGGTCCCTATATACGTGACATCGACTTGGAATATTCACTCTCCGAGCCCAAACTTTTTTCCAAGTTTTTAGGATCTTGGTTGTTGGGTTTGCCTTCACGAATATGAATTTTCTTGAAGAAGAAATAAGTAACATAATAAGCAGGACTCTGGTTATCATGTGGACCTTTCTGCTTCATGAAATTATTAAGAGTTTTTGTAAGGATTTCTGTGCCGCCTGGAAATGTTTTGGCGATTTCGCGACAGGATGAAGATTCGTTGGATAATGTATTTCGGCAGAACGCCTCGAATTTCTTGCGGATTTTGAGGCACGACTCGTAGATGAGAACTGATTCTGTGTCTTCTCCTTTGAGCTCGATGTCCGACACATTTCATTGTTCTGCCGCCTTGCTGAGTCTCTTCTTGCTCGCTGATTTTACGTGAAGCTGATGATATCAGCCCAGAGAAGTCCCTGAAGTAAGTCTAATCATCTCTTCCTGTACTACCACATTCCGCTTACTCACCATCGAATTCCATTTCATCACCACCAACTGCCATGCACTCACCTCCTGCGAAGGTAGTATAATCCCTTACTCTCCTTTCTTGAAGAATGCGATTATATTGTAGTAAACATTACTACCACTTTCTTCATCATAACCACTCTTGTTCATGAGCGTACGATAATTCTTACCACTAATGCCGATCGCTCTTTGGAAATTTGTGGCATCCATCTCCCCAGAGATGATAAAATTCTGAATCTCCAGTCGAACTTGGTTGCAGTCTAATTCGACTACTGGAAGGTGTTCACTATCATTTTCTATCCCAATGAGAGGTTGAAAATCGTCAATCTCTGTCGCTTTGCGTTTTCTCTTTATCATCTTGTGCTTGCATGGTTAGTAGAGAAGTCAAAAGTCCGGAATCATCATACCCTGGCGGATTATTTGGTATCGCGTCGTTCAATATTGTAACCTGCATGATCGAGGACTGTAGAGCAAACGTTGTTGGATCGAAAGGGATGCCATTATCATTAGTAGCAGAGAGATGATCACTAAAATGACTCGCAAGAACTTTACTGCACAAAGACTCTGTGAATGTCTTCTGTTTCCCCAGTCACTTTCAATGTTGTATCCCAAAAAGGAATCTTGCAAAATTATCAGATGCAGGCTTCCGCTTCATCCTGGTTTGATTTGAAAGAAAAATATCCCAGGCTGCGACCAAACAGATTCATATCCATACTCAACTAACACCGAGTAGACTGGGTACTCTGCTTCAGATAGTAATTTTGCGGGGTTACACTAGAATGATACTGTTTGCCAATCGAGAGTAAGGGTATCAACCCCTTCCAACGTTGAAGAAAATACGCAAAGAACCTCGACTAAGGCAGGTATGGCGCATGGCTCACTACTTGTGCTAAATAACATACTGAAAATATGATGGCACCATAGGATCTCTGATTGTCGAATGGAATTACACCCCCATTCCTACACTTTCAAAGTCTTGATCTCATTCCACTGTCTTCTTTTTCAAATAAAAGTATATCAACAGAAGAGGCCATCCATTAATGTAGGTTTGTATCATGTATCATAAAATTAAGCGAAACCACTCGTCGACTCA